CACCGGTCTCGCTTTCTTCCTCCTCAGTTTTACAAACGAGATAGGGAGGCAGAGTTTCTGTGGCTGGCTGTCATCTCACAGTGGCCTTGATGCTGTTACGGGTTTTTGATGCACAGCCAGTGTCTGTCCCTCCGTCTTGCAGCCACCTCTTCTTCATGAGGCCTTGGGCTGGGACCCCAGGAGAGTGTTAAGATAGTGCTGATATCCCGGGCCCCTGGCATCTGCTTTCTTCCTGGGTCTCAGCAGCCTTAGCGCTCTGAATAAAGCCTGCGGGACTCCACAGCTATGTGACAAGAAACAGGGACCAGGCTGTCTTGTTTCTGCTCCCCAGTCTCATGCTGCTGTTGATGACACAGGAAAGAGCTGACATGACTAAGGAGCTAGTGAAGTGGAGCCATCCATCAGGCTTACTTCTGGTTCATCCCAGTTTGTCGCAGCTGCAGTTCAGGGAAGAACCGATGTGAGCAATAGGCTCTTGCCAGTATGGCTCATCCCCACCCCCACCCCCCATTATCCCTCTTGTTATTTTTGAACCTAGCATCCACAGGTCTCTCTATATTTTTGCCTCATAGATTGCAAGGTCTATTGCCTATTTAATAAATAGACTAGAAGAATATTTTAATGTGTTGAGTGACCTGAAAAATCTGCCTTCCTCCCTTTATACACCCTTTCCCCCAAACCCTTGACCTGGACTTTCAGGCTTCCAACAAGAATACAGAGCCTTGGCAACGACTTGGAAGAGTTGGCACTGAGGTCCTAGAGGCAGAGTTTGAGACGTTCTCCATTCGTAGGCCCTCTCCTCCTCTCCCAGAGGGACCACTGGGCACCCCAGCATCTCCTCACTAGGCGTAGGGAAGGGGAGCAAAGCCAGGGATGTTCTCTGTCAGCCCAGTGAATCCCACAAGGAGGGACATGGTGCAAGGGAAGGAGAAGCAAAGTCCTCATTTGGTCAGACGAGCTGGGAGTTCGAAAAGCATCATCGAATCTTACACACACACACAGTCATATGTTTGTACAGCCCACCTCCCCACAGACTAAGCTTAAGAGCACAGGGCTTTCTGGAGAGGCATTATACCATGTCCACCAAACATTTAGTTCTGCGAAGACTTCTTTCTCACGCTAGTTTGGAACATGGGGATATCTGTTTTGATGTTCCTAGAAAGTATATGTGTAGCAATACAGATTTCTCTCATGCTCTTCTTTTATTGTTCATTTTTATTAACAAGTGCTTATGATATCTAATGTCGAAAACCAGAAAAAAAAATAGAGCAGAAAAAGAAGATAAAAATTGTTTGTAATACCATCATTAGTATTGTCTATTAACTGGTGCGTCCTTCCGGATGGGAACACACACACGTGTGCAGTACGCACACACACGTTTTCATCGAATGGAATCAAACGCAGGGAGACAGTGCAGCTGGAGCTAGTTCCACCTGGACCTCAGTGCCAGCACAGCCCTTTCAGAGCTGTGTATCTCGAGCAAGCTACTACCTCTCTCTAAATCTGTTTTCTCACCTGAGAATGAGAATCAGGATGTTAGGGCGATTAAATGAGGATGATTAATAAAGGGCTCTGAACAATGTAGCTGGTCACAACTAGTACTTAGAGAAATGTTTGTCTTTATGGTTCTCACATATTATTACATCCAGTTTATTATTACATTCCTTATTCATGTAGTTACTACAGACTATTTTTAACCTGTTGGTTTTTTTTTTCCACTAATAAGCACCCTGTGAGAATCTTTCCACATCAGGAAGCACATTTCTACAGCACTGTTTTTAATGACCATAAAGTATTCTATTCTGTTTCTGTTGTGCAGTTACTCATCAGTTGAGACCTTCATCTCTTTTTTTTTTTTTTTTCTTTTAATGGTCTAGCAGAGTTGACATCACAGGAGGGAACTGAACTCATTTTTTGCTTAATAGCTCTTTTTCCTTCCCGTAGGCAAGGTCGAACAGTATAGCATTCACAATTATTGATCTAAAATGAGCTTCAGGTACCTTAAAGGTGGAACCTGCATCAAATGTCACTGTCACCAGGTGCCAGCTCAGTAATAGTTTGTCCACTGTTTAAGATGAGTATTTTTGTTCTCTTTTCTGTCAGCCCCCAAGGAACACGATAACCAAAACTGTCTACATGTTTCTTGCCTTGTAGAAATAGTCACTGTGGGACGGTGAGGGAGAGGGCCTGTTTCTCTTTTCTCTGGCCTCAGATCAGCCCTGCAGCCCTGGTCCCTGGCCTCATGTGCAGTGGCATTTCCCGGGAGAGCTCTCGGCTTCTGCGTGCTCCTCTCTTGCGACTGGGATCACCACGCAGCCTCAGTGATTCCGCCTGCGTCCCACAACCCACTCTGGCTTGATCTGTGCATAGAAAGGGCTGTATTGATGAAGCCCCCTTTAGAGTATAACTTGAATGGAGTCTGATTCCATGTATTTTTGTTGACCTTGAAAAGTTGTTCAAGCGCTGCTTTTATTGAAAGACATTATCAGTCTCCACTTTGGCATTGTAATTCAATAAACAATTTAATCTTTTTCTAATGAACATATGCTAGTGCGATGAGCAATGGGGAAGAGGATATGATGGATATTTGAGCTCTGTGCTAGGTCTGGGGATACAGAGATGAGTAGAAATGGTGTTAAGTGTGGGGAACTCTCAAGCAGGAGAGATGGACAAGTCTAGTTAGATATACGTTGCGAAGCGATAACATGAACAGTACAGGATGTTAGAGAAGAAAGGAGGGGCAGATGGAACTCCTCCTGAGGTGGTCCAGGAGGCCTGCAGAAGAAGAGGATGCTCAAACTTTGCCCAAATAGGCTTTAGTCATGAGAGGAAGGGTAGTGCCGGCAGAGGGAGCTGCTGGTGGAAAAGGCGATAGGGCAGTGGAGAGCCTGGCGTGTTTGGAAGTCAGTACAGCTTGAATGAAAGGTAGAGTGAGAAGGGAGATTCGAGGGAGGTGAGTCTGGAGAGCTGGGCAGAGGCCAGATCTCTGGGATGCTGGCCTGCTAGTTGAGGGGTTTTAAGCTGTATCCTGAGAGCAGGACAGGGCAGGTCATCGAAGGGCCATAAGTTCAGAGAGCTTGGATTGCCCAAGGAAATATTCATCTACGAAACACAGATTCTTCAGGAAAAAAATTGGTTTGGGTTTAAATTGAGTCCACAGCCCTGACATTTAAGGTAACCTTGCAGACCTGGAAACGTGGAACATACATTCCATATAGTCTTTGGGTTGGGAGCACGTGACCACCCACAGTTGACTCTACTAGGTTTTTCCTTGACCTTGACCCAGAACTGCTTGGTGCCATGGGGTAATTCATGGGCCTGTAATTGTGTCCCCACAGGAAACCTCTGCAGAGGACCTACTGAGGTTAACATCTAAGAGTCTGCCTGACCTGACCAGCTCAGTAGAGGACGTGTCCTCTTGGACCGACAACGAAGAACAGGAGCCAGAGGGGGACGAGGACGAAGGAACCGGCTCGTCCGCCATCCAGGGAGCAGTAAGTGTGCCTCTGGTTTGCAGGGCTGCTCTGCCAGAATGATGTTTTCTTGAGGATGTGGGTGGCAGGATCAGACATAAAAGCTCGAGATAGTGGCCAGAGGCCAGGATGGGAAAAGACCACAGTGCATTATTTTTATTTTTATTTATTTATTGTCAGAATCTTCCAAAAAGATCTGGTGAGGGTAATGCTTTTCATTTAAGAAAAATAATTGAAACTGGAAACAGGATAAGAGAGCAGCTGGGTATTAAGTTCAGTGCCTAAATCAATTTCTAGGATGCTTAATATATACGAAGATTTTATTTCTACTTATTGATAGATGTTTGAAAACTATCGTGAATTTAAACTGAGACTGAGAGCTTTCCGGTTGAAAGTAGAATGTTAAAATAACACAGCACCCGTTCAGGCAAAGTTGTAGAGATATGTCTTATAATTTTAATCAAACTAGGACACACGGCTCATAGCTCTTCCTTGCAGAGCCTGTCACGCTTCCCGCACTTGTGGTTTGTGCTCACGTGCCGCCTGGCACTGTCAGGAGGGCTTTTGATCAGCTGTGGTCACATTGTGCTCCGTGGTCTCCACTCTGCATCCACATCTGAGAGGTGTGTCATTTGCAGTGTAAACTCTTGTTAGCCCTTGTTACCCATCCAGCCAGCGTGGGGATGGTGCCCCCTTTCTGCCATTTGGATCCCTTAGAATTGCTTTGTCAATGGTTTTCTTCAGAAAGCTTATCATGATTTACACTTCTAGCAGTGCCCAGTTGTCATCATCGCCAATGACATTACCTAAAAAAAAAAAGAAAATTACCAATTAATCACCTTTGGTTTATATGCTTATTATTGTAGTTTTTCCAAAGGAATTTCAATGCATTCTGTCAGACACACTTTATATGGGAAACTTTAGGTTGCCTTTAAGGAGAAAGAAATAACTCTTGACGCTAATTCTCCACAAGTACACACGTTACAGTGCTGCATTTCTGGGTTTCTTTGTCATGTCGCCCGGGCTGTCATACACAGATCCCAAACCCATTATTGTCAGTGGAGAAACCCAAGCTGATCTTGCTTTGACAATTCTCTCCTCTCTGTGCCTCGGACGCCACCTCACCCCACTTCACTTCTGCTCTGTCCCCTTCACAAAGCACTGACGGCAGAGGGGACCCTCGGGCGTCTTCCCTGGCTCACCACCCATGCGTGAACCATTCGTTAGCCATTCTCTTGAGCTCTAGTTTCAACTAGGAGAAGCAGGCCTGAGACACAGCCCTGCAGGGCTGGCCAGGAGGTTTGTACCTGGCAGAAGGTGTCTTCTGGGCTTTACAGTCCACCCTCTGTGCCTTATAAAGATGCTGAACCACTGAGAAAAAAAACAAAATTATATATATATTTATATATTTTAAGTTCTATGTCTACAATCCAAGACTCTGTTTGGTAATTTTTAAACAAGGATAAACCACCTTAAATGAAAGAAACCTAGTACGGTTTCAACAGGGTTACAAAGCCTTTTATTTCACACATGAGAATGATTAAACCTGCTGCCAGATTCCACTCAGACAGTGACGAGCTTTGCACCTGTAAGAGGTGGTGTGCGCCAAGCACTTAGGCTGAGCCAGCGTCGTCCAAATGCTAAGGACCTGCCAGGAGCACCCTTATGATTTATTTTTCATGGCTACAATAAACAGCAATGAGATTTTCCTTTCAGAAAGCTCCAGCCATGCTTAGGATAAAACCATATGGTGATTATCAAGTTTGAGGAATAGAGGCAAAAACAAAACAAAACAAAACAGAAACGGGAATGGGACCATGAAATTCCACAGTCATTTGAACAGTTGTCATCCGCCTCAGTGGGGTCCGGCTTCAGTGACAGAGCTGTCACCCCACCACCCATCACCACATCCGGTGTTGAAGATTGCCTGTTTGGTGTCAGAAATATCTTGAGTCTTGCCCTTTCCCCATATCGGCATTTATTTGAAGATCCTGGTTCATCTGATCAGCCATTCTTCCTCAAGTCTGCCTTCTGTACTTCTGCTCTGCAATGACAGTTTTTAACCCTTTTCCCATCTGCCCCAAGATAAATCGATTACAGTCCTAACTTTACCCCCCAAAGTTGACCATGAAATATCTCATTTTTATCATTATTTTCACATCGCTCTAGTATGTCGATAGTCTTTGGAAACAAATGACATATTATTTATAGCATTCTCGTTTTAGTCGTTCAATCACTGAAAATGTCAAATCCTAGAAAATGTAGCATTCCTACATGAGCTGCATTTTTTTTTTTTTTTAAACAGGAAAAAGTCTAAGTGAGAATCTGGCCACGTCATTAACTGTTTAAAATCCTTCAGTGGCTCTCAATCACACTGAGGTTAAAATCCCAACTCCTTAACACGGACCGCCACCAGCTCCAGCCTACCTGTGCTGCCTTTTCTCCGATAGATGCTCCCAGTGACCACACACACCCTCTTAGCGCTGTGAGCTCCTCATTCCCCAGGCTACTACTTTGTGCTTTTGTATCTGCTGTTCTTTCTACCTAAAAAAACCTTTGCCTGCCAAGATCCTTGTAAATCCGGCCCAATTGTCACTCCTTCCCATAAGTAAACCTTTCCCTGACCTCCAGAGTTATTTGTTCTGTGTTCTACGCTTACATAGCTCTGTGCGGAGATTTCTATTATATCATTTACCATCTTGTTTGTATAATTTATCTTTTTTTATAATTTATCTTTTCTGTCTTCCTCTTTAGATATAAACATTTCAAGGACAAAGGCCATGATGCCTTCAGCATCTCTCTATCCCTAGGACAGTACAATGCATGGAATATAATAAGGGATGAAAGGGAGGGACAGATTCTCCTATGAGCTCCTGTCATTCCTAGATCACTGCGCGTCCTTCCCTTGGAGCTCACCTGGTACTCTTCTGTCCTTGAGGCACAAGCCTGGGTCCTGAGCCCCTGACTTTTTCACTTCCCTCCTCGTGCCCCCAATATGTGCCCTGCCTGGGCCCCTCATCCTGCATGCAGGATGTCTGCACTCTGGGGCGCTACAGCATTGGAAAATCTGGCCTTGCCGCTGACTACAGAATAAAGGAGAGCGATTCTCTCCTGGTCCTTGTGGCCAGTTGAGGGGAACTCGACTCAGTTGCAGCTTTTGCACACTTGGAACCCAGATGGGGTGGTACAGCTGAACTCTTAAGCCTGTGGAGGATGTGAGCAGTGATTCTCCTGCTGCTTGCCAGGATCCTCCTGGAAGGGGAGTCAAGGTTGAAAGTAATTGAGGTAGTTTTGCTTTGAGGTGTCACGCATGTACCCTCCCCACTCTCAAAGACCAGATGAAGTTCAAAGTTATCTGTGATGCCTCTCTCTGCTCGAAGTATCTACAGTCATCTCTCTCTCTCTCTCCCCCAAATGTGTTAATCACTGCATCTGCTGTTTTCATTTATTTGTTACTGCTTGTTTCTTTGGAGAAAGAAAGAAAATACATAAGATTTGTAAACTTTTGAAGTCAGATGTACCTCTTTTGGGCCCCCAGTACCAATGAAGTACTTTGTATTCAATACAAACTCAATACGTATGTCTTGATCACAAAGCCATCAGTAGAGCAGTGCTTCTCAAAGTGCAATCTCTGGACCAGTATCATCAGTGTCACCTAGAGCCTTGTTAAAAATACAAATCCTTGGGTCCCACCCCAGACCTGCTGAATCAGAAACCAGGGGTGGCATCCAACAATCTGTTTTCAATAAGCCTTCCAGGTGGTTTGGACACAGGCTAAAGTTTGAGAATTTTAGAGCCTTCCAGTAAAATGAGTGGCATATGGGCTGTTCTTGGCTATTCAGAAAAGTGTGTTCCCTTCTCAAGTGTAAATAATTACGGTCCATCCCTGAAAAAAAAGCGATCCATGCTCTGACCTTCTGAAAGAGTGGCTCTTTTTAAAATGATTAGAGGAAGAAGGGTTTTAGTGTAACAAGGCATGAAATGGGTGGTGATATCTCTTAACAACAACAACAAAAAATGGAAGTACTGATTGCTTTTGCCAAATCTGCAATTGTCAAACCTCAGCTGGGAAGAGTTCGCTTCGCACATCCATCAGCAGACCTGTCTCCGGCTTCCTCTGGCATCAGGAATCAGTTCTAACATTTTTGGAATCACTAGTTTGGGAAAATCTTGAAGAACTTTTGGGTGATTAGGATTTAAGCATGAATTAAGGACCTTATCTCTCAAAAGGAAAGAAGAGCCAAGCTGGATCTCGCGAGTCTGTAAGTTTGGTGTTGGTGTTTGGTTCTTAGTTTGTTTATGGAGTTGTTAAGAGGTGTGAGAACTTGAATCCCTGTCTTCTGGAAGAGTCAGCATTCCTTGGGGGTAGACATCATCCAGATATAGAAAGAATTGAGAGGGCTCTCATGTTTTATTTGGATTGAATAATTGATAAAGTGTTTGCTCTTTGATAAAGTTTGATAAAGTGTCTGGGCAGTGAGGATTTGTATTGCAGCATCTGAAAGTACCATTTCTGGTTGAGACAGCTGCCCTGGATAAGAAACTGTCTCTTGTTTGGGGCCTGAGCTAGATCTTTCTGGTAAATTGAACTTAGAGCATAATGCAAAAGATAGCACCAAGTGCTTAAGCTTATGATTAGTATTAAAAAAGGAAGATCCAGCTGAAAATCAGATCTTCACAGCGTGAAACTAGTAATGCAGAGAGACAATGAACAGGGCTCCCCAAGCTTTCTGTGAGGGGAACGAATGTTCTTCACCACAAGCCTCGAGGTGAGGGTGTAAATACAGGGTGCGCATAGGGCAGCGGTGGGCTCTGAGGGTCCCTCTGAGCACAGGGCGTTGGCAGCCACTGCTCAGAGAGGTTCTCCTTCTGGGTCAGGAGAGCTCTTCCCTCCTCCTCGGGCTTCTGCTTCCTCCTTATCTAACTTGAGGACACACATCCTTCATGCCCGGGCCCCCAGGATGTTAATACATCCTGCGATTCCCTTCATGACCCTTAACACAGATTATAATAGTACATTC